TTTGTAATAGCTAAAACTTGGAATCCCCCCAAATGCCCATCAACTGGAGACTGGATAAAGAATATGTGGTTTTTTAATAAAATGGAGTACTACTTAGCCATAAAAAATGAGAAACTAGAGACATTTATCGCTAAATGGATACACATTGAGGTGATGCTCTTAAGTGAAATAAACAGGACACACACGTGTAAATACTGAATAGTTTCTCTAGTATGAGAAAGTATATTTACACTGAAAGTGTAAGTAAGGACTAAAAGGTATAATAGATAATGTGAAATAGGAAGAAAAGGGGCAAAGAAGAAGGGGAAGTGGGAGGAGTAGGTGAAAGGAAAGAAGGGAATGGAATTAATATGAGAAAAGGAGAAAATGAAAAATGGAAACAAAGTCTTTGTAAATAGGGAGGGATGGAGGGGTTGAAGGGAGGGCAAGGGAAGAGGGAAAATAAGAACCAAGAGAGATTATATAAAGGCACGTATCTCCAATGATGAATGTCATTATATTGTATACCTAAAGTGTTCCAATAAAATAATATTAAAAAACGATTTAGCTTCAAGGTGATGTCGATCATGTTTCTGACTTTGATGCAAATATGTGAGCTGAGTTTGTACCTGGGAACACTATGGTGAACTCTGAATATTATAAAGGCTTATTAAAATGTGTAAAAAATGATGTATGTAGAAAACAGCCTGAGAAATAGGTAAAATGTTTCATCCTCCATCATAACAATGTTCTGTGTTACATATTTTTTCTGACATGACAATTTCTGTCCAATAAAAACATTATAGTGATCCTCATTCCCCTTATTCACTGGATCTGGCATCGTGCCACATCTAGCTCTTTCCTAAAGTTGAAGTGATTATGAAAGATAAACTTTATGAATCTATTCAGGACATTGAGGCAGCCTCAACAGTACAACCAAAGACACTCATGAAAGACTTTTAGAACTACTTCAGAAAGTAACAAAAACAAAGGGACAAGTGTGCTCAAAGCAATGGAGAGCATTTTGAGAGGATTAATAGCAATGTGTCTTGCTGTAATAATTTTTTTAAAAAATGAAACATCACTGTATTTTTTGGATCACATTTCATATTTTATCTAGCTTTAGGCAAAATCCTACAAATTACTTCTCTGCAACAAGAAAGACTAATATTTATTATTTATAAGGCAGAAGTAACCTTATAGTATTTCATTTAATTTTCATAATAATTCTGTGAGGTAGATACTGTTAATCTTATCTTATGATAAGAAAACAGATATGGAGAGATTAAGTGACTTCTCTAAAATCATACAGTTGGGATTTGAACTTGAGTCTGACTAAGTGTAGGTACCCTTCACATGTATACTACCCTGCAGTGCAGTCCCTTATGTCTATTAGTATTATCCTATTTAACACTCTAAATGAAAAATAGTTTGATCCTAACACTTCCCTGACCCCCAAACTTCAATGGCTTCCTGTACCTAGAGAATAAATGAAAATTCTTTAGTTTATAAACTTGAAGAATGGTTTCGTATGCTTCTCTGGTCTTAACTTTTACAGGTCCTTTTCATATGTCTTACCATACAGTTATGTGAAACTACCAAAGTCTCTCAAAAATACTCAATGTTTCCTTGGCTCCATATGTGTATTCATGCTTTGAAAACTCTTCCTACTGGTATAGCCACCAAATCCGACCATATTTTAAGTACTAGGTGAAATGTCACTTCCTCCTCAAACTTTTGTAACTCCAAGGCGAATTGATCCTCCCTCTTAATTCATAGAGTGCTTTATTTGTCCTCCTTCTTCCTCTTCTTCTCATCTTCCTTCTTTTTTTTTGCGGTATTAGAGATTGAAGTCTGCCAGGGCCACTGCAGTTACCTACATCCCCAGTCCTTTTTTGTTTTTTTATTTTAAGACAGGCTCTCACTATATCCCTAAATTTCCCAGGCTGGATTAGAACTTGTAATCCTCTTGCCTCAGCCTCCCAGAATGTTGGGATTACAGGTGTGTGCCAACATGCCCAGCTGTATTTGTACTTCTTATAACATGTATCACATGCTTTGTTGTTAGGATTTGAATTATGCATCTCTCCAAAATTCATACATTGAAACCTACCACCCAATATAATACTTAAAGTATTGAATAATAAATATCAGTGTGAAAGTTCTCCAAGACAGATTGTTAATTTAAAATAGCACATAACAAGAATATACAATCCTATTTCCATTTAAAAATAACATATGCATGCATGCATGGATACACATGTACAAAAACCAGAAGAATCACACCAAATGTTAATAGTGGTTATTTGTAAGAAGGGAAGTGTGTTCATGTTGTGAAGGTGAAGAAAAGGATGCAATACAGGACTTCTACAATTGTGTAATTTCCTATGTTTAGAGCATCTATATAATTTACATAGATTTACTTTCATCAGAAAAACATATAGGACAAAGGGCCTTAGAGCTTAGGTTCTTCTGAGAGGGATGCTCCAGACAGAGGCATCTATCTCATTTCCTCCAGATACCAAGTTAGAGGTAATCTATTGCCTGTTGTCTATTGGTGTAGCCCTGATGAAGTTCCATAGCCAAGAAAGATTAAGCCATCCAAGCAGGAACTCACCCTGAAGTAAATAAAGATGCATGCTCAGTCTCGATAGTCAACCTAAGATTAACACATCTAAAGCTTGTTCCATGGAGACTGATTCCAGTGCAGGTTGTGGTGGAAGCCATTAGCTTCTCTGGAACTGGGCAACCTGGCACAGTTTCATGCTTTGGGACCCAAAGCTGAGCACATGAAGATGAAGTAATATTGCTGCAGAGTTTGGAATCCTGGCTAAGGAACTACAGGAGTCCACATAAGAGAAAGACCAGCAAGATGCTATCTCAGTGATGGGCCAACATTCTGCAGTGAAGCCATGTGGCAGCAATTGTGAACTTGCCAGAGGTGCCCTTTGGTAGTGCACTTGAGCAATTCTACACTGAATAAGCACCTGGGATTCTTGGACAAGGAAGGGGATCAGATTGGGGGTGGGGGTGGCTTGAGGAGAGAAAAACTGGAGCTCCTGGTAATAAAAGCAAGCGTAGGCTCCAGCAACGAATGTGTACCTTGACTCTGTCAAATGATGCATGTGAACTGTACTTTAAAAAGTGGCCATCTATATGCTACGCCCTGAAAACCTATTGTGATCATTTTAGCTGATGTAGGCATTAAGAAAATATTAAGGAAAAACCAAAGGAGGTGACTAAGAGGTGGAAGGAATTTGGGGTCAAGGAAACACAACTACAAAGTGAGAGTTGGTGTTATTGTCGCCTCTACTCACGGGGCTGATATGCGTTCCAATGTGTGTACTGCACCAGCTCAGACTCCTGCCCCGCAGCCTTCCAAGTGTATTCTCCTGTATCATTCTGGTCTTGAAGAGCTATCCAAAAATAACTGTCCTTCATTTTCACCACACTGCTGATCAAATTGGTAATAAATGCCTGTTCAAACCTTGAAAAGAGAAAAAGGAAAGGGTTATGTTATATTTCAGGGCAATAAAACATATCATTAAAACACAATGAAGTACACAGAATGGCACCCGAGTATGCATTGCTTGTTAATTCTTTAGAACATGGAACAGAAAAATACACAAACAGCCTGAACATCATTAATACATACCAAGTGTCAGCACATTCCCAGAAATGCATGAGTGAAGAGAATTATACACTTCATTCTTGAAAAATGTGTCAAGGAACAGAGTCCAGCTCTGGTTTCAGAGTGTAGGTGGTAATGTTCACACAGCCAACAATACATTTCTTTTAGTATGATGTGGCTTGTTTTATAATTAGGCCACATACCACACACCAAGCCATAATGTGCATGGGTGGGAGTTGGCAGGAAGAAGGAGGAAGAATATTATGCTTTTCTGAATGAATATTTACCACTATGGAGTTCACATGCACCCTCTTATCACACTTACTTGGTAAGAAAGGAATTGGAGTAGGAATTTTATGTCTCCCAAAACTGTTCACAGGCACATGGAGTCCTTGGCGTACTCAAATGTGTTCAAATATGCATTTTCACTGAAGATAAATTTAAGTCCTAGGATCTAATCCAAGTCATACACCCACTAGCATTTCCCCCAAACGGCTTAATGAATCAGCATTCAATGACTGGTGGCAATGCTCCCTTTCTAACATGAATGCATCAAAAGTGGAATCTAGGAAACTTGTATTTATGCTCCCACATGCACACCTAATGAGAAAAGGGTGAGTATTAAAAACTTAACTAAAGTTGGACTTAAAGATAAGTTTGAAACTATTAGGATAAACCTATTTTCAAGACCTGTACAGTTAGAAGTAATTTTAGTGGTGATTTCTGGCCAGATATACTGAGTCAACAGGAAAAGTAAAGCTTGATGAAATTATCCAAAACACCATTTAGGCTTTTAAATTGCAATTTTGGATTTTAAAAAATTACTATGCATTTTTAACTTGCTAAGGGTACCAAAGACAATGGGATCATTTAAAAAATAGAAGAGTCTCAAAGGAAATACAGAGGCTAAAATAAAGAACAAAAAGTAAAATTTTAAGTGTCCTGAGACATCAATAGAACAGTTAATGATCGTAGGCATCCATGGCACTCATCTCTGCAGAATATGTGTATTTTACTGTGCTTTCATATTTTCAGCATATTCTCTTTTAACAATCTGAATAGCACACATTTGAAATGAGAAAAGTTTGTTTTTAAGCACATGGTAGGAACAGAACTTTATATAAATGTGCTTTGGGAGAAAGGTACATAATGTTAAATGCTGCCTAGATGCTGTTATAATTTCCCTTATATTTCATTAGTTCATGATTTCATAATATATCACCTGCTTTTCTGATCCCTGTTGAGGCAGAGTAGCATAATTATTGTTCCCACCTGGTGCCTAAAAAATTCCTGTTAGAAGCCAGCAAGGCATTGCCCCATGGGTGCTGTGGCCAGGACTTCTACTCACTATGGTGGTGTTGAGCACAGGGAAGGTTACTGGTTCTTTCATTACCTTTTACTATGAAATCTGTCAGATAATGCTAAAAAATGACCTTGCCTATGAACATGGCCTTGAATACTATTTTTCATGACAACGTGTGGCTTTTGTCCCTTATTGGTTATAGATTTATTTAGTCCATTTTGGTTTGCTATTCTATCTCTATCACTGTTTGAAATAACAGAAAACTGCTTTTTTGAATTGGCAAGCATATATATGTGTATATATACACGTATATATACACATATATATATGTGTATATATATGTATATATATATTCATTAAGTTTATTGGGACATTTTATGTATGCATTATGATGACATTCATCATTGGGAATTTGTACCTGTACATGACGTATCTTGGTTCTTATTTTTTCTCATTCCCCTTCCCTCCCTTCAACCTCTCCACCCCTCCCTATTTACAAAACTTTTGTTTCCAATTTTTCCTTCTTTTTTCATTTTTTTCTTTCCCTTCTTTCCTTTCCCCCATACCCCTACCTAGTTCCTCTTCCTTTTTGAACATTTTCTTTCTATTTCACAATATCTATTGTACATTTTGGTCCTCATTTACACTTTCAGTTTTTCACATCAGAGAAATAATTTTGTATTCACATGTATGTGTCTTATTTATTTCATTTAAGAGTATGGCCTCAAGGTGCATCCATTTAGCTATAAATGTCTCTAGCTTATGTTTCTTTATGGCTGAGTAGTATTCCATTTTATTTTTTAAAAATACACATCTTCTTTATCCAATCACCAGTTGATGGGCTTTTGCACTATTTCCAAGATTTACCTATTACAAACTATGCTGTTATAAACATGGGTGCACATATATCGCTGTGGTATGATGCTTTTAATTCTTTCAGGAAAACATCCAGAACGGGAATACCTCAGTCAAATGGGACATCTAATCCTAGATTTTGAGGAATCTTCACACTGATTTCCACAGTAGTTGCACCAGTCTACACTCCCACCAGCAGTGGAGCAGGGTTCCTTTTTCCCCACATCACCACCAACACTCGTCATTGGTTGATTTCTTGATAACAGCCACTCTTTCTGGAGTGAGGTGGAATCTCAGTGTTGTTTTCATTTGCACCTTTTGAATGACCAGTGATATTGAACATTTCTTCATATGTTTATTTGCTGTTTCTATTTCTTTGTCTGAGAAATGTCTGTTCATTTCAGATGCTCATTTTTTGGATTGGGTCTTTAAATTTGGGGTCTGATTCTTTAAAGTTTTTTATATATTCTAGATAGTAGTCCTTTGAGGTACAGCTGGTAAAAATTTTTCCCACATTGTGGGTTGTCTCTTCACTCTGTTGGTGGTTTTTCTTGTTGTGTAAGAGCTTTTTAATAAGATGATATCCCAGTTGTTGATTCTTTGTGCTAGTTTACATGTGACTGAGGTTTTGTTCATAAAGTCTTTTCCTATGCCAATGTCTTCAAGAGTTCTGCTTAACTTATCTTCTAGCAGGTTTAGTGTTTCTGTTTTAATATTTAGATCTTTGATCCATTTTGATTTTAGTTTAGTGTATGGGGAGAAATATGAGTCTTTTTAATCTTTGGCAAGTTGAAACCCAGTTTTTCTAACACCATTTATTAAAGAGGCTATCTTTCTTCCAGTGAGGGTGTTTGGCTCCTTTGTCAAAGATAAGGTGGTTGAGTGTGCCTGGAGTTGTTCCTGCATCTTCTAATCTGTTCCACTGATCCTCGGGTCTGTTTCTTTGCCAGTACCATGCTCTTTTACACTTGATCTTAGCCAAAAGGCTGAGAAGCGATAGTACCATGCTGGGTTTTTTAAAATTCTTAAATATGGTTTAATACTCTTCTCCATTGCTGTACATCACAACACCAAGATTTGGCTGCTTAGGATCTCTCTGCAGAGGCTATAGAGAATGCAAAGGCTATGGTTTTCACTCCCTCTTATTTATGTATTTGTATGTGTAAGTGTGGTACATATCAGTATATATTGATACACACATCAATATATAATGCAATATATATCACCGAAGAGAACACATTGATTAAAGAAATACAAAAATTTGACATCATTTCCAAACTTAAACAGTAAAAATAAAAACTACAAAAAGAGCTGCATACCCTAAATGTATCATGTGTAACAATGAGCATATTCAAAAATGCAAATTTACATCTAATTTCTCTGGTCTTGTCATATCACATTAGACCCATTTATAATGGCAAAACCCTAAGGTACTGCTGTGAAGAGAGCATGTTTGCTTGCTTGTGGGTGTTCTGCAAACAAATAGCAGAGCCCAAAGCAAAAGCCTGTTCCGGTGAAACCTCTCACGTCGGTGAACACCAAAGAATCAACTCTTCTCACTGGGATTGAGACATCAGGTTACATATTGACAGACAGTAATTTGGACCTCAGAGTACAGTGCAAGAACCAGAAGCTTTACATTTAAGAAATATTCCCTTCATTCAAGTGAAACAGGATTAATGGAACTATAGGCAGGTCTGTAACATGGGAACAAGGAGCTGGTTCAGACCAGTAAAACTATGAGTGACTGAGTCAAGTCAGTGAAGAAGAGCAGTCAGGCACTAAAGTGTTAAAAGTATCCAGTTTGAAAACCAAATGCACCTCACTACCCTGTCAGCGTGGGGGTGATACCAACTGACTTTAAAAACCTTTGGTCCTTCAAAGTCCATTTGGTATATACCTTTTCCCATTGATACCACTGGGCACATCCCACACGCTTTGTTTACTGTCACCGCCTTGAGGACACCTTGATTTTGCACGTCAGCAAGCCCGAATTATGGCCCAGCTGCAAAGCATAAACTTCAGGTTTTCAGGTCAACTTTTGATCCAAGATGGTTTTAGTCCATGGTGCCAGAAGCTGTGTCCCATCCCTTCCCGCCCCTGTCCTTCCCACCCTCCTCCAATCATTTCTCACATGAGAGGTGCTTGTTAAGTCCCACATTTGAAACAGATGCCCCAACCCCACCAAGGGTTCATAATTACATGCACAGTCATACATGTCTGTTGTTCTTATGAAAATCTTGTAGTTCATTTAAAAAAATCAAAACATCCACATAATCTCATGCCACCCAACACCCTAGGGAAACATGACCACCTCCCTTTTATCAAAGATACACCCAAGCAAAATAAAACAATCTTTAAATTTTTTTGCTTCCACTTAAATTGCATGTTTTATTTCTCCCAATCTCAGCAATAGCACAGAAGCCCCACCATATCCATCCCAAACCAGTTTTTAGAAGGCTGAGATTATCAGGACCCTTGTCAAAGCAAGTGAGTGATACAAAGGCTCCCAAAGGCTGGGCACAAATGTTTCTGCCAAACAGATAGAAGTAAACAGTGCACTGGCCCAATGCTTCATGAGTCAGCTTGATGCAATCTGCATCCTTGAAACTGACAGTCTGGGGAGGAGTGTGAGGGAGTGCAGTTGAGATTGCTTCCTATTAGCTCACCCTTTCAACATTAAACAGAGGCCAGGAGA